TTGTACAACACCAGAAGCTCCTCGTCTGTTTACTGTCTGTGGTTCGTCATTATTCCTTTAAAAAATAGAAGGATCGAGTGTTTTCATATTTTTTTGGTTTACTTTTTTAATCTTTTTTTTTACTTTTTATATTTTTGTTTTACTTTGTTTTTTACTTTTTTTAACATCTTTTTTACTTTATATTTTTTTTTTACTTTTTTTTTTTACTAAACCGATCGTCAGTAATGTAACATCAAGCCAGTGACCTCATTACCATAAATTATACTCCCGTTAAGTGAGAGTGTTTTCTGTTTGTGCGTGATTTTTTTTATGACCGATTTTAGACTCTTCCAAACTAACAGTACAGTTAGGGGACAAAAGTTCATTCTCGTTGGTGAAACTGAAACACGGGAATGAGTCTCCGAACTGACTTACCCTGAGTGTTGCATCTCGTTTGGGGTTCGACGCTGCTTCATTTTCAACCCCGAGTGAACCTTTTGAATCCCGAGTGAACCTTTGAACCCCGAGTGAACCTTTGAAGCCCGAGTGAACCTTTGAAGCCCGAGTGAACCTTTGAAACCCGAGTGAACCTTTGAACCCCGAGTGAACCTTTGAACCCCTACTGTACGTGGTGGTTGAAAATGGTGCTTTATGGCTTTATTTATGTTAATTCCTTTAAATAATCACTTAGATAACTACACTCGGACAGCCATTTCAATTAAACAGTAACTTTCGTGCTATCATCGGGAGGGCGCGTGAATTAGTGCCAATAAAAAGACGCATCTTTTATTAGCGTTGAGTCATCTTCCTCTTCTCGCCTCCTCTTCCTCCCCTCTTCCTCTTCGTCCCCCACCAGCGCCTCCTTCCCCACCCTCCTTCCTCCCCACCTCCTCCCCATTTCCCAATTCTCCCCTACTCCTCCTCCTCCCTTCCTCCTACCTCCTCCCTCCTCCCCCACCTCCTCCCTCCTCCCCACCTCCCTCCTCCCTACCCTCCTCCCTCCCTCCTCACTTCATCTTCCCTACCCCCTCCTCCCTCTCCCCTTTCCCTCACCTCCTCCTCCCTCCTTCCTCCTTCCCTGTCCACCCCTCCCTCCTCCTCTCCATCCTCTCCTCCCTTCATCCCTCTCCTCCTCCTTTCTATCCCTCTAGACACCTTGCTGATTGATCATGATTAAATTACTTCCGATTAGTTGGTCGAGAAGGAAGGATAGGATGGAAGGAAGACAGTGGCTGTTGAGGAGATAAAATCAGACATATATTTTTTTTGGGGGGAACGGGTCGACTTTTTTTTGGGGGGGTGAGCGCCATTTTGTGTGGTGTACCGTGTGTGTGTGTGTGGATATATTGTTGTGTATGTGGATATATTGTTGTGTGTGGATGTACTGTTTGTGTGTGGATGTACTGTTTGTGTGGATGTACGGTGTTCCAGCCTATCTCACCAGGGCTACCAACCACTCCAGCCTACATCACCAGGGCTACCAACCGCTCTAGCCTACATCACCAGGGCTACCAACCGCTCTAGCCTACATCACCAGGGCTACCAACCGCTCTAGCCTACATCACCAGGCTACCAACTACTCCAGCCTACACCACCGGGGCTACCAACCACTCCAGCCTACATCACCAGGGCTACCAACCGCTCCAACCTACATTACCAGGGCTACCAACCGCTTCAAACCTCTAATGGGACCGTAACTCCACACCGGGAATGACAATGCTGGTCTTCACATGGACAGAAGCCATTACGTTTTAGTGTGTGTGTGTGTGTGTGTGTGTGTTTGTATTGTGTGTGTATATGTACCGTGTTGATGGATTTATTTTATGTGTATGCCCTGTGTATGTGAATTTATTTTGTGTATGCCCTGTGTATGTGAATTTATTTTGTGTATGCCCTGTGTATGTGGATTTATTTTATGCGGATGCCATGATTATGAAAATGCCATAAATGCTGATTCACTGTGTAGGTTCACTGTTATCGTTGCGTCAAGAGTTCTGATGTTGTTTATGGGAAAGTGTACGACCAAAACAATGTAGTCTGACGTAACTAACAGCATATCTTTCCTTAGGACGTTCGTATGTTAAATTATTAAGACATTACCTGGAGTATGACCGTGTTAATGAGATGATGACATACCTGTGTTAGTTAATGACACACACACAAACATTACCCACACACACACACACACACACACACACACACACACACACACACACACACACGATTAAATATGTTTTATAGAGTGAAATAATTTTTTTTTTATGTGGGAATATACACCATGGTCCGATAAAATGGCCCCGTGTCAAGTAAATGGTCCTGGGAATGAGAATTAAATTTTTTTTTCTCGTAAATGAATGTTGGTGGCAGGGAAAACTTAATATATAGTTCAATTACTGGCAGGCACAAACTGTCACCAAATAAATTAACGAAGGGAAATTACCACCACAGTGCGTATCGTGTTAGGCAGAGGCGCTGGAACACAGACACTACACTGCTTGGTTAGTCGGATGGATACCAGTTAGGTTAGGTTAGGAGGCCAATAAGACTGGTGCCTGTGTGACCTGCAGTGCCACAACATACAGTCATCCCACCCATCTCGCCCCCAAGTACCCTCGTTATGGTCGCTGTTTGAAGCTGGTTGATCATTATTGAAGGGGGGTAGTTGTTAGACATTTTGCAGGAGGTTTTGGAACGTTACGTATGGGAGAGGTGTTAGGTGGACGATGGGACTTCACCTTACCTGTGCCTCTGCTGTTATCCGTGCTGCAAGGTGGGGGGACTACAGGCAGGTGTATGTGAGGGGGATTTCGTGTTGTCTCTCACCTGTCATTCTTCACCTCTCGCCTGTCATTCTTCACCTCTCACCTGTCATTCTTCACTTCTCACCTGTCATTCTTCACGTCTCACCTGTCATTCTTCACGTCTCACCTGTCATTCTTCACGTCTCACCTGTCATTCTTCACCTCTCACCTGTCATTCTTCACCTTTCACCTGTCATTCTTCACCTCACCTGTCATTCTTCACCTTTCACCTGTCATTCTTCACCTCACCTGTCATTCTTCACCTTTCACCTGTCATTCTTCACCTCTCACCTGTCATTCTTCACGTCTCACCTGTCATTCTTCACCTGTCACCTGTCATTCTTCACCTGCTGTCTCGTATCGCTGAATGACAACTCATAATTATCAGACAGGTTTATCGGTATTCAGTATGGGGTCCAAGAACACCCCTTTTATCACCAGGGTCTAACTCCCCCCCCCCTCCCGGTGACCCACGTGCTCAAAAATGAGAGCACCACCTGTTGACTTTACCTGGCTGTTTCTTATACGTGTAGCCAGAACGGAAATAGTTGAGGTGAGTGTGTTAGATAACGATATGATAATGGTCTCTCACTCTTGTCCACACTCACTCACTCACTCACTCAAAGACACTGTTATTTAGTTGTTGTCTTTTTTTCTCTAGTACGTAAGACTCGGGAGAAAAGGCTACATATACCGTCCTTGTCTCTACATGACTCCGTAAACACACACACACACACACACACACACACACACACATACCTACCTGTAGATAAACACTGCTATTAGAATTTTATTTAGTCATTACTGTATTTGTAGTTTATGTAGTTAGTCTACTATTTATTTAAGTTTAGTTCACCTGGCCATCGTAGTTCACCTGGCCATCGTAATTCACCGGGCCATCGTAGCTCACCTGACCATCGTTGCTTACCTGGCCTTCGCTCAAGGCCAGGTGATAGATTAGCTCTCATAACTCGTCTGTCAGCGTCGATCATTGTACGTCTGGCAACACCCAACTTCCGAACTGTCCAACCTATCCTAACCTAACCTAACCTAACCTAACCTAACCTAACCTAACCTAACCTAACCTATTTCGGCTTCCATTATGACATCGTGTAGTTAAACTGTTACTTGTCTAGCCTTCATAACACTCGTTAGTTTCTGATCCGGAGGGGAGGGGTCAACCTCGAGGGAATAAATCGAGTTTATTGTTTTATTTATGAATCGTTTATCTGTTGAACATCCTATGAACTCCGATATATATACTGAACATTTTCTCAGATACGGTGAACATTCTTAGTGTCTGGACTAGTTTCTCTACCTGATCTATAAACAAACGTATCATTAAAAAGTAGAATATGGAGATAGGAATTTCCTCTTAAGTATTCCTTTGTGTCTGAATTGGTCTCTGTTACGTCTGAAATGGTTTCTGTTACGTCTGAATTGGTCTTTTACGTCTGAATTGGTCGGTTACGTCTGAATTGGTCTCTGTTACGTCTGAATTTGTCTCTGTTGATCTGAGAGCCATCCATCGTTGTCAGCCAAGTTCTTGATCCAATAGTTTCTCCAAGTTTTGATGCCTCGATCTCTGCCTCTCCATCGACGCTATTAAACGATGGCATTATATCACCGCCAGCCTTGATCACTGTTCTTGTCTGCTGCGAGGGGAAACACTGTACCGATGTGCCTGGAACTTATTTTCAGGGGTACAAGGCTCAAGTAATAAGAGTTCAATGTCTTTATGACCACACTAAACCATTCTCTCCCGTGTTGCTATTGGTAAATCCCCTACACAGTGTACTGTACTTCTAGTGGGCTATGTCTCATGTTTGAGCTGTTTATTGACATCAGATTGGTGCAGTGTCATCGTGTTCATAGTTATTATCAGTACCAAATAGTAAAGTCTAGTATCCATATGCTATCAGGTGGTTAGCTACAACGCGTAGAATTTACAAAATGTATATACGATTTTTTATCCAATTCAACGCGTGCCAACAGTATCAATGACGTCTAGTAACCATTTTCAGAGCGGAGTTAAGGCCTTCCTATAACTGAGAGAGCCTTGGCCTTCTAAAACCACTAACATCCATATTTTACACTGGATCTATAACCTACGTTGACTTGGGGATAGTGGTTGGCGTGGTTAGGTTAGGTTAGGTTAGGTTAGGTTAGGTAACTTTTGTGGGTCTTATGTGTTAATGTGTTTGTGTCTCCCTCCTTCAGGTTCCGATAGTGTTGATGGCGGGTGTCGTCGAGCTGCGGAGAAACAGAGGTCAATGTCGGGGTCGTCCTCACCAGTCACTTATGGTGGCGGCGGCGGCGGCTCCTCCACTCACTCTCTCAACGACGTCCACCTCCAGGTTAGTGTGTTTCTTTGTCGTCCTTCTCACCCTCCTCCTCTCCCATCACCCACTACCTCAACCACCCCCCACCTCAATGCTTCATCTCATCCCCCTCCTCATTCACCCACTCCGTCAGCCACCTCCACTCATCCTCCACCCCCTGAGTTTAATATATCACCATTAATTAATAAGTTACAGGTTACCTCACGTTGATTTAAGAGCTTTAACGTGTTCTGGCACATTAACTTACACACATCTGATAGTAACCTCTAGTCCAGACACAAGCTAAGAGCATTACCTGAAGAGCATTACCTGAAGAGCATAACCTGAAGAGCATTACCTGAAGAGCATTACCTGAAGAGCATTACCTGTATTAAGGGAACTATGATTGCTAAGGAACTAAGATTATTTTTTGCCATATAATAAAGGTATAAAGTTAGTTTGTTATAAAAGAACTGAAGTAATTTTCTTTTTTAAGCGAAGGTAGAAATTGTAGGTAGTTTAGCGTCTTGGGAGAATTGAGGAGTGGATGAGGAGGGTGAGGAGTGAGGTGAGGAGATGGTGGGTGAGGAGGAGTGAGGACATGGTGGATGAGGAGAAGTGAGGAGATGGTGGATGAGGAGAAGTGAGGAGGTGGTGGATGAGGAGTGAGAAGATGGTGGGTAAGGAGGAGTGAGGACATGGTGGGTGAGGAGGAGTGAGGACATGGTGGATGAGGAAGAGTGAGGACATGGTGGGTGAGGAGAAGTGAGGAGATGGTGGGTGAGGAGGAGTGAGGACATGGTGGATGAGGAGGAATGAGGAGATTGTGGATGAGGATTGAGGAGACGGTGGGTGACAAGAGAATGACGTTATGGCCGTAAGCATCTTAACGTCAGTGATTTTGTGAACGGGTACTTATGACAGATTATCGAAGGGAAAGAAAGAGAGAGAGAGAGAGAGAGAGAGAGAGAGAGAGAGAGAGAGAGAGAGAGTATGTATTGATGTATACTCCATGAGAGTTAAAAATTCCTCATGGCTTCCACTACAGTATTTACATTACATTATTTCCTCAGTTGTGCTTACAGGAGAAGAGGAGTTCAGGCCCCATAGAGAAGCCGAGATTGTTGGCGCCTCGTCTGACGTTGCAGAAGTCTGTGTCGACGCCATCCATCCTTGCCGGTGTGGCCACCCAGCCGGCTCAACAGCAGCCACAGTGAGTACCTTGGGCCATGTCATCTGGTTTTTTTTTGTTTTTTTTCTTCAGAATATTTTATGACGTCTGGGGTCTGGTTGGAGGCCTTGCTTGGTGGAATTATTTTCTTCGGTGTTTGGAGAGATTCTTCAAGGTATTTGTAGGTACTTCTTTGGGTATTTAGAGGGTCTTCTGTGTATATTTGGAGGGTCTTCTGTCTGGGTATTTGGAGGGCCTTCTGTCTGTCATGGTATTTGGAGGGCCTTCTGTCTGTCATGGTATTTGGAGGGCCTTCTGTCTGTCTGGGTTTTTGGAGGGTCTTCTGTCTGGGTATTTGGAGGGCCTTCTGTCTGTCTGGGTATTTGGAGGGCCTTCTGTCTGTCTGGGTATTTGGAGGGCCTTCTGTCTGTCTGGGTATTTTGAGGGCTTCTGCCTGTCTGGGTATTTGGAGGGTCTTCTGTCTGTCTGTCTGTCTGTCTGGGTGTATGTATGTATGTATGTATGTATGTATGTATGTATGTATACATACATACATAATTTTTGGTTCCTTACTTCACAGAGATAAATTTGGAGTACTGTTCTCAGTATTTTTTGTATACTTTTTCTCGGAGTTTGAAAGTATTTACTGTACTTTTCCTCGTGTATGAAATTACTTATTGTATTTTTCCCTCGGTTTATGGAAATACCTTTTTTTATGTATATTTCTAAACTTTTTAAAGACAAATTTCCTCTGCATATTAATATTTTTTTTTTTCGGGACTGGCGAAAGTTTTTGGGATTTTGGAGGGACTTGGTAGTATTTTGAGGGACTTGGGAGTATTTAGTGCATGTTATTGGGGGGAGGAATTTAGAGTTTTAGACAGACTTGTAGATTATTGAAGGGACTTTACCGGGTGTTGGGGAAGCTTAGGTACGTCTTGACAACTCGATATTTTTTTTTTCATCAATTTTAATGATGTTACGATTTTTATTTATTTTTTGGATTCACTTATTAAAGTTTAAACAGTCCTTCCTAGCGTGTCCTAACAAGGTCTGGTGATTAGGTTGGGGCCTGTTAGAACTGTGGCCCATGTGACCTAACAGCATATGTTCAACCGATGGTGACAGTATGGTGGTGTAGTGGTGGCAGTATGGTGATATCGGTGGCGATATGGTGATATTGGTGAGTGTGGTGAGTGGTGACAGTGTGGTGATAGTGGAGACAGTGTGGTGATATTGGTGACAGTATGGTGACAGTACGGTGATAGTGGTGACAGTGTGGTGACAGTGTGGTGATAGTGGTGACAGTGTGGTGATATTGGTGGCAGTATGGTGATAGTGGTAACAGTGTGGTGATAGTGGTGACAGTGTGGTGATATTGGTGGCAGTATGGTGATAGTGGTGACAGTATGGTGATTGTGGTGACAGTGTGGTGATAGTGGTGACAGGATGGTGATGTGGTGGTAAGGCCAGGGCACTTTGGAGCGTTGTGTACCTCCCCCTCCTCTCCTCCCCCCCTCCCCCCACATCCCCCCTCTCCCCCCTTCCTACTTGGTCCCCCTAAAGGCAGATAACCACACAGGCCTCCGAGATAGCCCCCCCACTCCCTTCCCTTTCCTCCTTTTTTACCCAGTTTCTTTCCCTCATCCTGTCTTCCTTCTACCCCTCCCTCTCCCCCTCCCCCCTCACCTCAGTATTGTGGTGTCCTCTCCTTACTCTCTTTTTTTTCTTTCTGCATCTCCCTTCACACGCTTCTATCTTCTCCTCCTTTCTTCCTCTCCTCCTCATCATCTTCTTCCCTTCCCTTCTATCCTCTTCCCTTCTATCTTCCCCCCCTCCTCCTCTCTTTCTCCTTTTCTCATCCCTCTCACTCTCCCTCTCCTTTTCCCCCTGTCTTTCTGCACCCCGTTTCTTCTAATTCCTCCCACTTCTTCATCTTCTCCCCTTCATCTCCCTTTCTCCCTTCCTCTCCCCTCCAACCATTTCTACCATCTCTCTCCATCTCCCCTTCCTCCTCCCATTCTCCCTCCCCCATTCTCCCCACCTTCCCCCTATCATCCTCCCCCCCTTTCTTCTCTCTCTCTTCCTCCTCCTCTTCTTTTTCTATCCTCTTTCCTTCTCCCTCCTCTCCTTCTCCTCCTTCTTCTATCCTCTTTCCTTCTCCTCCTATCCTCCCCCTTCTTCCCCCCTCTTTCCTCCCCCACCGTCTCCTCCCCTAATATTTCGGGAAGGACTTCAAATTTCCCCGTCAGGAGCCACCGCGACTCGAGGAAGGAACATGGGAGCAAGTGGTCGTTGGCTACCCCTCGTTTTCATGTCAAACGAGAGGAGGAGGCGGCAATTTTGTCCCATTTTCTTCCATATGTGTTCTGGCTCTGTGTGTGTATGATAATGTAGTGGGGGCTAACGTTGTGTGGTACTCTCTGTCTACTCCCTCCTTCTTCGTCTCCTCCTTCCCCCTGTCTCCCTCACCCCCACATCAGAGCAAAAGAACCAGACGTGACCAGCAGGCTCGGCGCGGTAGGCCATGTAATGAAGACCTGATGACTACTTTGAGCCATTTCACGGATGACTTATTACGGTCATCATCACGGGAAAGGCCACGTGCTCTTATAAAGTGGGAGAGGGGGAAGGGAGGGAGGTGGTTACTGAACGGGCGGTGACCTTATACTGAGACAAGTGAGGCAGGGTATAGCATGTGTCCTTATCAAGAAGCGATAGACATAGGTGAGAGCTGCTTCATCGTGTGTGTGTGTGCGCGTGCGTGTGCGTGCGTGCGTGTGCGTGCGTGTGGGGGGGTTATCAGTTATGTTTGTTCGGTGTCAGTTAATTGACCCCGATACAATGGCCTTGGTGTCAGTTTTGTGTCCCAGATGCCAGGAATCGTCTCAGGTGCCAGGAATTAGTCCCAGGTGCCAGGAATCGTCTCAGGTGCCAGGAATTAGTCCCAGGTGTGCCAGGAATCAGTCTGTGTGAGTTAGTCCCTAGGTGCCAGGAAATTGTCCAAGCTGCAGCTCATCCCAGCAGTTGTGAATCAGTCCCAGGTGCCAGGAATCAGTCCCAGGTGCCAGGAATCAGTCTCAGGTGCCAGGAATCAGTCTCAGGTGCCAGGAATTAGTCCCGGGTGCCAGGAATTAGTCCCAGGTGCCAGGAATCGATCTTAAGTGCCAGAAATTGGCTCACATCCACATGTCTGCATTTATGCCACAGCTGAGCGCCACAACGGGCAGAAGGCTGGCGCACGTTCGTCGGGTGAAGGTTCCAATAGCGTTGCATTGCGAGGTGGAGACGAACGCCAGGCGGTGTTACTTGCCCGTGGTGGCGCTGGGTTCATGGTATTTCCAGCCTTTATTATAAGCACACTAGCCATATGTCTCCAACGGGGCGGGGCAGGTGGTGTAGGGGGGCGGGGCGGGGCGGGGCAGGGGATGATAGGGAGGTGCAGGACGAGGCAGGTGGTGATGGGGAGGTGCGGTGAGCAGCCACCACCACGGGAGCTGTTAAGTTGTCACCTCCGTCCTCCACCTTATTGACGCGTCCTTTACAGCATTAGGCCGCGAGAGGGAGAAGCGGGAAGGGGAGGAGGACTGAGAGAGTGAGAGGGAAGAAGGATGAAAGGGAAAAGGCGGTGAGAGTATTAGTAGAGAGGGCGATGGAAGAAGAGAACGTTGTGAGGGGGAGAGAGAGTAAGGAGTAGAGTGGTGGGAGATGAGAGAGGGAGTGGTGAGGGAGAAATAGATGAGGTGTAGTACTAGGTCAGTACAGTATATTGCCCAGGTGAGTTCTGCGGAATCCCCCGTTCATTAACACACCTGCTGATGCCACAAATTTGATCGTAATGCGAGTTATTGCTGCTGTGTTAGTCTGTGTTGTTGGGAAGGCTGCTGTGTTGCCGTTTTGTGTTGCTGGGAAGGCTCTTGTGATGCTGTGGGGCTCTTTGTGTTACTGTTCTATGCTGTGTTGCTGTTCTATGCTGTGTTGCTGTTCTATGCTGTGTTGCTCTTGTGTTGCTGTGGTCGTCTGATGAGGTGATAATGCCATTCTTCTGGGCTGTACATTAAAACTGTTCTGTTCTTGAGGTTGTTGTGATGCCAGACTGCTGCGTTGTACATCTAGAAGCTGCTGTGTTCCTTGGCTGTTGAGCAGTAGTTTCAGAAGCTGTGATATTGCTAGTTTGCTGTTTAGTCCATTTAGATGTTGTAATCCTCTCGTGCTGTAATACATCTGTAGCCTGGGAACTGTATGCTGTTACAAGTGAAAACGATGTTGTATCAAGAATGACTATCAGAGCTGCGGTGCTGTGGCGTTATTATGTTACAATGATTGTGTGTGTGTGTGTGTGTGTGTGTGTGTGTGCGTGTCCGTCAACATCTGCTACCATCAAACACACACACACACACATACCACCCACACACACACACCACCCACACACACACACACCACCCACACACACACAGGTGCATCAGACCTCGGGGAAGTCCCTCTGGTCCACGTGAAAATATTCCACCTAACTTTTTATTTTCATAAGTCCAATATGCAAATTAACTGTAGACCAATGCCCTTATGATTACCTGAGGGCCGCGCGTGTCACTTTACCTGAGTTTGTGTCATTCAACCTTTCGTATTGGTCGTGAATATGTATGGTATATGTGTGGCTTGTCCCCCCCTGCTAATCCTTCCCTGGTATAAATCCCTACTAATCCTTCCCTGGTATAAATCCCTACTAATCCTTCCCCTGGTATAAATCCCTACTAATCCTTCCCTGGTATAAATCCCTACTAATCCTTCCCTGGTATAAATCCCTACTAATCCTTCCCCTGGTATAGATCCCTACTTATCCATCCCCTGGTATAAATCTGCTAATCCTTCCACTGGTATAAATCCCTACTAATCCTTCCCCTGGTATAGATCCCTACTTATCCTTCCCCTGACAAAAACCAACCACAACCCCAAACTAAACTTCCCGTATAAACCCAATCCTTCCGTATAACCTACGTATAAACATAATCCTCCCCCAGTATAAATCTGCTAACCCTTCCCCTGGTATAAATCCTTACTAATCCTTCCTCTGGTATAAATCCTTGCTAATACTTCCTCTGGTATAAATCCTTACTAATCCTTCCCTTGGTATAAATCTGCTAACCCTTCCTCTGGTCCTGTTCTGGGTAAGGCTTCAACCTTTACGGTGCTCCTCGGGTTAAAGATTCACTCAATACTGTTCTCCCGCTGTATGGGAAAATAATTTACTTTCGCGTTGAGCTGTTGGCCCTGGCAGACTTAGCGAGGCAGTTTTTCAAGGAAGAGTTTGGACGGAGGAGAGGAGGAGGATGAGGTGAGGTGTGGTAGAAGGAGGAGGGGAAGGAAGAGGTGGAGTTGGTGGGGGTGAAGGAGGACGAGGTGGGAGTGCAGGAGGAGCTAGGGGTGAAGTAGAAGGAAGAGGTGAAGGAGTCGAATAGTCCTTTAGGATAGGATTGTATCTCCGCCGTCACCAAGTCTCCAGAGAGCTCTACATCCTGAAGGAGCTCCGTCAGTGATGTGTGTGTGCAGGGGGGGGTTACTCATTCAGGGAGAGGGACAGAGTAATAATGTTCCATCCTGCCTTTAGGATTGAGGTCCTTTCCATCATGCATTTAGGATTGAGGGAATTTCCATCATGTCCTTTTATTTGGGGGGGGGGGATTAGGACCGTCCCTTTAATCCTGGAGGAGGGGGACGAGTTCTATCTGGATTTGGGGTCCTCTCTTTGATCCACGGGTTGAGAAAGGTTGGCTGGTTCTTCTTTCGTGTCTGATGTGAGTCCTCATTCCTCTTGTAATTGGCATGGGAGTGTTGCCTTCCTCGTGATGTGTGTGTGTAGGCGGCGTCAGGACAAGAGGAGGAGGAAGGGTGGGGGGAGGAGGAGGCAGCCAGCAAGGTACAAAGATCTATCAGTATGTATAGTCGTAAAAGCACACCCTGATTCCTTAAGAAATACATAACACATTACCAGCGTCGTCAACCCCCCACTGCTTCCCTCCCTCCCCCCCCACCCCACCCACCGACCTATCTACCCCAGGACACCCCACCCACCTACCCACCTACTCCAGGACACCCCACCCACCTACCCACCTACTCCAGGACACCCCACCTTTACTTACCCACCCTCAGAATCTCCCCCACTAACCTTAAATTTCTTGCCCCAAATGTCTATATACACTCGATTGTCCGCTGTTGACGGCTCTCCGCCTTACAGAGACACGATACCTTGCTGGTGGCTTCCCTTCAGAGGATGTTGAACCTCGCCAGGAACCCTCTAAGTCTAATGTACTGTGTGTGTGTTGTGTTGTGTGTGTTATTTACATTCTTAAGTATTTGTGGTGTGTTCTGTTAAATGTTAATACAATGGTATGTTCTATTACGTGTGTGTGTTGTGTTGTGTGCGTGTTGTGTTGTGTTCTGAGCGTGTTGTGTTGTGTGCGTGTTGTGTTGTGTTCTGTGCGTGTTGTGTTGTGTTCTGTGCGTGTTGTGTTGCGTTCTGTGCGTGTTGTGTTGTGTTGTAAGTTATACCAACAGTCGGTGACCGCTGCCCCTCTCCCACCCCCAAATTTTAACACATCTTCTCTGGCCCAGTCTTATCCGATTTCCGTTCTTCCTTTCTTTATTATTTTTCTTCTTCCTCCTCCTCCTCTTCGTCCTCCTCTTCCTCTTTTTCCTCCTCATCTTCGTCCTCCCCTTCCTCTTTTTCCTCTTCCTCCTCCTCATCCTCTCCTCCTCCCCCAAACCTTCTCCCTCTCCTTATTCTCCTACGTCTTTCCCTTCTCCTTATATATCTATTCTTTTCTTTTGTTTTCTTCGTTTTTTTTTTCGGGTTTTGAGAGTAAAATGTCTTGAGGAAAACCTATTATTATTGAGACCCGAATAAGATGGTGTACAAGTGTATGAACCTACGATTGGAATGCCTCTCTGTGTGTGTGTGTGTGTGTGTCCCCTTCTAACCTCCTCCCCCTCCTCACAGGTGTCACTTACCCACCAGGTGTTACGACAATACACACACCTCACGACACATACACCAGGCCAAGACACACCGATGACTCATGAGAGGTAACATTAATACACACACTTTACCCGTTATACAGGACACATAACAGACTGATACTCGGGGATACATCACACATATCCCTTGATACTTGAAGAAACATACATATATAACACATGTTTTACGATGCACATAAGAGGTCAAAGGACAAAGTGCGGCATGGACAACATATGTATCACCCAGGACACATACCCGTCACCCCTGGAGTGTAGTGATGACGTAATGGTTGCCACTGTGTCTTCATTACCCTGGCGGCGTCACCTTCAGGTTTTCTCTCGGCTCGTATATTCCGCCTTCTGCTGTATAAATCTTACCTCGCTCTTATATGATGGATCTGGTGTTATGTTACCTGGCTGGATCTGGTGTTATGTTACCTGGCTGGATCTGGTGTTATGTTACCTGGCTGGATCTGGTGTTATGTTACCTGGCTGGATCTGGTGTTATGTTACCTGGCTGGATCTGGTGTTTATGTTACCACCGGCTGGATCTGGTATTATATTTGCCTGGCTGGATCTGGTGTTGTTACCTGGCTGGATCTGGTGTTATGTTACCTGGCTGGATCTGGTGTTATGTTACCTGGCTGGATCTGGTGTTGTATGTTACCTGTGGATCTGGTGTTATGTTACCTGGCTGGATCTGGTGTTATGTTACCTGGCTGGATCTGGTGTTATGTTACCTGGCTGGATCTGGTGTTATGTTACCTGGCTGGATCTGGTGTTATGTTACCTGGCTGGATCTGGTGTTATGTTACCTGGCTGGATCTGGTGTTATGTTACCTGGCTGGACATAGAGTTGTAGTACTTTACGTGCATCAGGCCTCGATTCTCGGGAGGGAGGGAGGGAATGAAGGAGAGGAGGGAAAGGAAGTAAGGAAGGAAGGAAGGAAAGAGGGAGGATGAGAGAAAAAGAAAGAGGGGGAGGGTAGGAAGGAAGAAAAGAGAGAGAGAGAGGGAGGTAAGGAAGGGAGAATGGAGGGATTGGGGGTGGGAAGGCGAAAGGGAGGAAAACCAATTTGCATGGCCGTATCAAGACAAGCATGTTTCTGCTCGCATCAGTGTACACCTACTGGAGTAAACTCTCACTGGTGTAAACAAAGGCAGTCTGTCGAACGTTAGCACATGAACGATATCGCATGAACTGCTCGGCATCAATGTACTGTATCTGTATGAACTTAGGAACACACAGCATGGCGGTGTTTACTGCTGGGAATGTTTGTTATTGTTTATTAGCTTGCAAATACCTTTTTTGTATTTAGTTATATATTTTTGTTTAACGTAGTACTATTGTTTGCTTTAACACAGCTTGTTTAATTAACTACTTAATATTAGAGTTTTTATTAACTGAAAAGTAAAATAAGTTAACCATAAATTGCTGTAGTTGTAGTTGTTATTTAATCCAATCACCCATGTTATGTACAGTCGCCTGCACTTATACCTGGTACAGTGGCTGGTGCGTTTTGTGAGATGTGGCACCTCTGTGTTTGGTTACATTGTATTAAAACTCCCGGAATGGCCTTAAAGAACCTCACTATAGTAGCCAGGCTAAGGATGCTAGATAAGTATTCCACAGAGTTGCCACATCTCAAAATGCGGCAGCCACTGTACCAGGTGTAACTGCAGGCGACTGTATGTGGTTACTAACTGCACTTAACCCACATGTGCTTTTGCCCGCCCGCCCGTCTCTTGCCCCGTCTCGCCCCGTCTCCCCCCCTCCCCTCTCCCTCCCTCTACCGCCCCGCCGAGTAGTTTGGTGCTGAATGAGACAGACACAGACCTGAGCCTGGAGTACCAGCCCCAGCCCACGCCCGCGAGGAAGGTGGCGGTGTGGGCGTCTCGAAGTATCTCCGTCATCGCCACGCCCACCACCCCCTCCCCAACCACTCCACCATTCCCTGACCACCACAATCCCCTCCTCCACCAGTACCCTCAACACCACCACCTCGCCACACAAAACATTTTACCTAAGAAATTGTAAGTTTTGTATTATTTTTTGGTGGTTGTTTAGGCACTAACTGATGCATGTCTTAGAAAGTTTAATCAAAGTTCTGCATGAGAGTTATAAGTAGACTAGGCTACACAATGTTACTCTTTGCCTCGTGTTATAAATGTTTTCTTAGCTGTAGGTTAGTGTGAGTGTTGATTTACCTCAGTCTAAGTTGTCTTTCTTCGTCAGTCGATATTTAGTTGTATTTAAATTTGGTTCATTATGTACAGTATTGGCTTCAAAAAATATCTTTACGATTTTGTGTGAGACAATGAGACACAGTTGACGAAGGATTTTGACAACCCTACCGAGACAACAGGAGTCGCAGTGTTCATTTTGAAATTGATCGGACCTCCTCCGTATAGATACACTTTGGGGCTAGTGTACCTGTTTTGAATTATAGCCTCGGGAAACCCTGATTATCATGTCTGTTTCTCTGTTTAGTCTTTAGTAAATTCCTTAAGTATTTGATAACGTCTCCATCTGTTTAAAATAATACACAAAGACATTTTTCTTCCTTTTCTTCTTGTTGTGTCATCCCCTGAGGTTGTGTTGCGTTATGACTGTCTTGTTGAAGGTCATGTTCTCCCGTGTTTACTTAACGTAGTTGGATCTTGGGGCATTAACATCATCTTGTTTTTTTTACTTAATTTCCTATATTGTGTTTTAAATTTATTCCTATATAAATGTAATCAGAGTTTATACATTTTTTTATATTATTATTTCTTATTAGTTACTTTTGTCCTCTGAGGTATTTATATATATATTTAAGGAACAAGAAACACATGATTTTATTCCCTCTGCTCAGCTTGAACCGGCGGTTAATGACGGTCTGGACACTCAAAAGTAACCGTAATGGGAATAAAAATACGGTTAATGAAATCCTGACGCAGAAGCGGTGTTTGACCCTTGTATCGTTGTCTGAAAAGGTTAGAAGAATTTTTTATAGTATGTCTGCTGCCTCGAGGCGAATCGGCTGAGTTTACATGAAGAAAAAAATGTAGACAAGAAATAGTGTTATTGATATAGTATGGAGAGACTGACTGATATATCCTTTGAGGTTGATAGTAAACTTGGTCCCAGCAGGTCTTGTCCCAACTGATCCCAGCCAGAATCAGCAAGTGCGGGAGGTGTATCGTGGAGGGGAGAGCTAGAGGAGTCAGCTTGGCGGACCTGAATTTCCATACTGTGTCTGTTGGTCTGGCCAGTGTTGTGTGCCGCTGCCTCGATATCACTGCGATTTCTCTCTCTCGTGTTTTTTTTTGTTTTTTGTTTTTTTGCCTTGGTGGAGGGTGGGTTAGGGAGGAGGGCTGTGGAGGGTGGGGGTTAGGGAGGGCTGTGGAGGGTGGGGTTGGGGAGGAGGAGGGCTGTGGAGGTGGGGTTAGGGAGGAGGAAAGGACTGTGGAGGGTGGGATTTAGGGAGGAGGAGCTGTGGAGGGTGGGGTTAGGGAGGAGGACTGTGGAGGGTGGGGTTAGGGAGGAGGACTGTGGAGGGTGGGGTTAGGGAGGAGGACTGTGGAGGGTGGGATTGTGTGTACACCGGGGAAGTAAAAAAGCAACAGACACATTGTTTTCCTCACATTTTTCTGTTGATAACTTAAGTTTGTTGTAGGTTGGTGTATAGGTTTTACTGTAGAGAATATATGAAATTTTCTATTTGTTTTTTTTTTTACAATTGTGAACAGGGAGAAAAATTATATATATATAAACAGTATTATGATGAAGGGAGAATTACTTGTTTTATTGTTGAATGTTCGAGTTTCATGTTGTGTATCAATCCGTGTTTGACGTCATTGGTGGTCGGCCAATCAGAGTGTGTTTATGAACCATCGGCGTGGAAGCACACCTACTGTAGCTCACCGTTGTATGTAGTTTTTTTTCATATTTGTTGGGGCGTTACAGTTTTTCCTGAATTTCCACATTTCTAGTATCGTAGTAAATTTACTTAATAATTATGAGTATTTCGGTATTTAGTAGATTTATACGTGCCATCTGTGACAATACTCAGATTATATCAAAGTCCAGCTGTTGCCGTGACCCAGTTGTGTGAAGCCTCGCCCTCAGCTACTGTTAATTTAGTTCCCTGTATTATACTCTGGTGTGTGTGTGTGTGTGTGTGTGTGTGTGCGCGCGCGCGCTCTAGACCTGACAGTTGTGAGTGGTCTTTTGATTTGACCTGTAACGTGACCTCTGAACGTGACCTGTAGTACGTGACCGATGGACCTGACCTGAAGTGCGTGACCCAGTGTGTGGTGTGCGTGACGTCAAGCAGAGGACCAAGCTGTCACTGATATATACACAGGTACAAGAGGAGGCGGGTGACGTGCTGGAGACATAAGTGAGTGAGACGTGTGGAGTGATGAGTGAGCCGAGCATGGGACGAGCCCAGTCTCACTCCTGGCGTCACCAGGTAAAACAAGTCAAACTGTTGCGTCATCCCTCCTGCTGGGGGGAGTCGTACTCGAGCTCACTTTAACACTGAATGATTTAGTTTTTCGTTCTTCAGTTTTACGCTACGCCAGCTGCTGTAACCGTGACGTCACCCACACGAGAACAAATTATTTCCTCTCCTTAATAATAGTTCTAAGAGTTATTGATTTATTCATAGTTGTACATATTATTCAAGTATCTAGATGACGAATTCAATTAATACCTAAACAAACACACACACACACACACACACACACACACAGACAGACAGACAGACAGACTTCGTAATGATTAGTATTCAGAGTTGTCATGAGATTCAATTTGGGAATGTGTTTTTATTGCAGCATTTTAGTGCATATTAAATTTCAGTTTTTAATTACAAAACCCAACACGGGAAACGTTAACGTGATGAGCTGGGAATTGATAAAAGTTGTGATGATTTGTAGGAACATAACGAAAGCAGATGATTTAACCTCTATTATTTCTGGTCACATGTTGTAAGGATGGCACCAGTTGTAGAGTGACACCAGTTGTAGAGTGACACCAGTTGTAGAGTGACACCAGTTGTAGAGTGACACCAGTTGTAGAGTGACACCAGTTGTAGAGTGACACCAGTTGTAGAGTGACACCAGTTGT